ATATAATTCCAACCAGCTCGACCAATATGGCCAATGATAAGGAATGACGGGCACTGAAACCAAATGATATCTGGAAGCCATAAACTGTGCACCTCTTCTATAAATTCAACTCATCCCTTCTGCTTTAATTACCTGGCAGATATCTTCCTGCCTGTCTCATGCACCAAACAGGAGTGTATTTTGTCTCTTCTCCTCGTGCTGCTCGCAAGAACACATCATTTTTCAATTCAGGAAATCCTGTAGGGCTAGTCAGAGGAAAGCAAAGGCAAAATGAACATAAAATTAATGGTTTCTGCCATAAATACTGTGGTAGCTGATTGCAGCGGGAAAACAACAACATGCATGGCTTTGGGAAATCTTTCCAAGCTCTCTACCAACAGTGGCCATGAGTGAAGTGACATGCTGCATCTGTGTATGTGCATTTCTGCTTCCTCTCACATGGTGTCTGTGCACTAGGAGCACATAGTGGGCTCCATATGTACTCTGGGGCACATGACCAGGAGAGAGCAGGAAGGGTGCTGGGAATAGAGCAACTGCAACATAGGGATCCACTGTGGGAATGTGTTCAGGGTTTCTTTTTCTCTGCGCCCCTGGCTGGGTCCAGCCCATTTTTACCTTGATCTTAATTTTGCCAGCTTCTGTGCCTACCAACTTTGGTCCCATGCTGTTCACTTTTCAGAGGGTTATCTTGCTGACAGACTGTAATGGTAGGGTGAGAAAAACCTTGAGAAATGGGGTGGAGAGATGCTGGCTAGGGAACGGTCAGATAAGAGAGGGCATAGCCCGCAGCTGTACAATGGGCGGAGCAAGAGGCTCAGAAGGGACCCTCCCTAGCTTCTCAGGCTGTAAAGGAGACGTGGGAGATCTGTACTTTCTGACTTGCAAGATTCTGTTAATGTAGCCTTACAATAAAGTAGAATTAGTTTATCTGGTCATGTTTCCTGACTGGTCTACCTGGTAAGGCTAACACAGACAGACAGGCAGGGTCCTAGCCTCTTCACATAATTTCTTTCCAATATTCCAAAGGATTGGAACAAATAAATAAGGCAAGGAAACCATAGCTTCTGGAATTCTTTCCAACACCTTTACCATCAGCAGCCTTGGGAAGCATCTGTATTTTCTCCCGTGTAACAAAGTAATGTGTGGTAGCTGTGTGCACTTTCTCCCCAGGCACTAAGCAGGTTGTATGTTTACCTGCTGCCTTTGCGTGTGTGTGTGTGTGCATGCATCCGCACACACACGCACATATATAGAGAAAGAGAGAGCTCTAATTAAGTGAGTGCAGATGTAGGTTGCCTATGTTTGTGTGCTCTCCCCTTGTATTGCATCTGAGTGTATTTGTTTGTATGCATACCCTGGGAAGCACAGGGTGGATGGCATACACTCTGTTCTTGGTCATTGGCTTATGAAGAATGCAGAGTTAAAATGGAGGTCCCACAGAGATGTACTACTGTATAATCTTTTTCTGCGTTTTTTTCCTCTGCAGTCCCCCAGCTTGCTCTGATCCATTTTCAGACTTAATCTTCCTTTTGCCAGCTTCTCCCCAGATATCAAATTAAGTTCCATTCTGTCCCATTTTCTGGAAACCATCCTAGTGATGGCCAAATAGACAGAATTCTGAGTCCCCTTAAGTAACTTCTTTCCAACATTCCACTGGGGCAGAAAGCCTGAAGGAGTCCCATCCAATGGCTAATCCTTTAAATAAAAATATGAGGTCTCAGTTCTTTTCCTTCCAATTAAGGCAAAAGGAAAGCATTCTGAAAAATCTTCTGAAAGATTTTCCAAAGTATTCTTAGCTCTGATCCCTAAATAAGTGTTATAAAATAAGTTTTACCCTTACATGCAAACTGCGAGTTCTGAATATAGCATTTATTCTCCATCTCCTGTTGATATATATCCAAATGCTTCTAAACCCTGCCTTGGGTTTTGTATTTGCACTTAAGTAAACAGTTCTCAAATGAAAGCAGGTTTTTCTGTGTTTCTCAAGTAATATAAGACAGATAACAGGAAGTAAATGGCAGCTAAACCATAATTAAATCTTGCAACTGGAACCTGAAAAAAATAAAGGTGTTTACTGGCTGTTTCTTTTCTCAGCCCCAGGTCCTTCTCTGTACTTCTTACAGGCTTTTATTTCCTTACATTAAGTATACAATCCAATGCTTCAATCCAGAAAACCACCCTCCGCATACATATCCCAAACTATCCCATGAACTGTCATTAATTATCAGTGCCAGACACAAACACTTGTACTAAATGAGCAGTGAATTATATAACCTATTCTAAAGCCCTTCCACTATACTACCATTTCTACTCACCAGTTCAAAAACAATCCACAATCATCTTCATTTATGTTGACTCAGAAACACTTAGAACAAAAAACTAAAATCATTGCCCAATCTAAGCACCCATCTGAAGGATCTGCAACAACCAAATAACTCCCCCCCCCAAAAAAATGTCTCTTCACACAAAATGAAAAGAAATTTAAAAATTTAGTAGCCTGACTTTGTAAGGGTTGGTCCCCTGATAATAGAAATGGAAAACTGACTGAAGCCTGACAATATAAACCTCTGCTCCTTTGCTTGGGCTCCTGAGGCAGAGATGCAAAGCTGTCAAGTCAGCAATCTCCTTGCAGGACCTATTGGGAGGGGCTGAAGTTTGGGGTTGGGATGAGGAAAGAGATTCCTGTAATGGGGAAAAGCCCATCCTCCAAACTCTGCAGAAGTCCAGTCTTTCCTGCTGAAATCTACTGTCAAAGCAGTTTCTCTTACACCACAGCTGAGCTAAGGGTAAATCTCCTCAGCTGTCAAAGAGACATAACAGTTTAGGATTACACGTGTAGAGTTTATCCAGAAGCAGCTACAGATCTCAGGTGCCCCTAGTCACTATGCTACTGTCACAGAATAGCAATGATTTTTCTAAGGTAGCATACATATCATCGTTTTTTCATTATGAGTAATGTAGAATAGCAGTTAACTCTTGATTACCTGCTTATATTATCAACATAATTGGTCAGAGGGAAAAAAAAATTCTAGGAATATTAATGTTTTAAATGCAGGGCGATTCTGAAACAAATTTCTCTAAATTCCAGGGGCTTATTCCCAGGTAAGTGTCCTTAAGGTTCTAACTTAAATGGTCCGTGCATCATACAAAAAACTCTACATTTTTACAATCCCCTTCCCTGAAATAGAATTGTACTGACCCACACATTACACCATCCCAAATTTAATTCCTGTTCAATCACTTATGTCATCAGTTAATTCAACTACTTCCAGAAAAATGTATAATTTTTTTCAAATAATCATTTCCTCCAAATGTAGTTCCCTTAAAAATGCAAAAATAAAAGAAATACTATATCCAAGGACAGCTGCCAGGGTCTTATGAAGCTGTGACTCTCAGAATTCCAACCATCTTGGTTAGAAAGTCTGCAAGTTGAAGTATCAACACACATTGGGAGGGCAAACACCGGGGAAAGCTATTTTTTCTAAAGAGGTTTAAGATATAGTAGGTGAATTCACTATGTAGGCAGGAATCATGTATTGACAATGATTGCAGAACTGGGACCTTATAAAGGGTACTTTGGACCTCAGATTAAACTGGACTATGCACCTGTACTTTTTTATCGCAATAAGAAATGTTCTTATTTGGAAATATCACTTTTACAGCCCAGTTCTATCATCCCACTTCAAAAATAAACTTCATTGAGAACTTAATTTCATTCACTGTATATGTTACATAATGATTAGATAATATTTTCACTCTTTTCACATTTATATTTCTATTTCAGAAGGAAGGTAACATGGAGGGCAGCCTGTAATGTTCCAGATGTTGTGAATTGTAACTCTCACGTTCCCTGACCATAGGCCATGCCAACTGAGGCAGATAGGAACTGGAGTCCAACAATACCTGGAAGGTTACAGGTTCTCTTTCCTTGAACTAGGGAACAATTGAAGAAAAAGGGAGTTTCTCCAAATACCATGCTCTTGGGCTGCTTCCCACACCCACAGACCACCTCAGAAAGGGGACAAATTAGACATTTGAGCTCCCTAATTTTTCTACAGCAGAACAAAACGACCGCTGAGACCTAGTGTCTCTTCTGCTATTAGTATCTATTCGCACATTAAAAGCAAGTAGGACGAAGGATAATGAGCTCCTTTAACAAAGCCCTGCTTATCGTGCTTGACACGGTGTTCAGCTCAGGACGGAATGGGGGTTTCTAGCTGGCT